TTACTGCTGGCCGCACGTAACTACGTACAAACCACACCCGGGCAGAAGGTGCAAGATACCATCCCTTCTAGAAAAGCAGATCGGGGTGATACACTAAAGAGAAATAACTAGTGTAAAGGGATCGCGATCACAACATTTTTCCCATCTTGCATAAGGGAATTACCAAAAAATCCCTGGCTGTTTTCCAAGGAAACTTCGGGTTCTTCAAGACGTTCCTGACCAGGGGGCTTTTGGGTATGGTGACTGCGGGCGGCAGGCAACAGCACATGATCGATCGGTCGGCAACCAAAGGACTGGTCGGGACCGGTCCGGGTTTTAAAGACTCCTTTGCGCCCTCCAAGGGTAAAGTGCCTTGATGCAAAAATTTGGGAGCTACCCCACCTTCCTTGGCTCGAACCCAATACATCTCTTTTCCCGGCGCTTGAAACCCCAAAAAAGGGTTCAGCCCTCCTTGTATTTATAATACTGATTTGGGTAATTTTAAAAACAATAAACGGAATGTAAAAATGAGAAGAGTGATAGGCCACCCGGGGAGGCCCCAGTAGGCCTCACCCCCCACCAGGTAAGACACACCTACGGTACCGAATAATTCCAGAGGTAAAACGGGGCATGGTGAAGGCCAATAGCTAGACAAGTCAGATCTAATTCAGGGTTAAAAAAAGCCATTTCAAACTAAAAATTAAAAGGGTGGGCCAAGTACCTGGAGAGGTTTCGGGGGTATTTTCCCCTGTGACTGTTTTTTCCTAGTTTACAAACTATGAGGGAGGTATTTAAAGGGCTGGCAGAGAAAACATAATTCCTTTGTATAAGAGGAAAATAGGACATCTATAAATTCAATGAGGTCATTTAATCATCCGGAAAGTTTATTAGGCAAAAGAAATTGTGAAGACTGCCCTAAATGCTGTCAGTAAGACGGGCCCAAATTGCTTCAAACAAATCCTTCTTTAAAATCCAGTTTTTTCAAATATCCAACTTTTGGGGCTAACGAACATTATCCATTTTGAGACACTGTCACATGAAATTTGTCATGCGTGCTGTTGCTGCTATTCCTTGGTGGCCCTGGGGTGGTAAGCAAGCTCTCGCTCACACGCGTCTGTAGGCTTTCCCCAAAAAGGGGGTAACATTGGGCGTGTTTTCTTTACCGCTGTCCCTTCACCTTCAAGCAATAGGTACCTGGTGTTATCGCTGGTGGGTCCTCCCGGGGACAAGATTTAACACCCCCAGGAAAAAGAGACAGTCCTCGATGTCGCACGCCTTTCGTGTTTCCTGGGCAAAACCCCCCGGGGTTAAAAATCCCAACGATATTTGATTTACCCCCGTCCCCCTGCAAACCCCTTTGCAACACTTGAGAATCTTTATCCGGGGAAACCCTTTTTGCCACTTATGGCCCAAAACCCCCTTTCCTGACTGTACATTACGTTGTCGAATCTTCAAACACCACGATTGACCTGACCTTTGTCACCTCCTCTCCTCTCCTTCATTTGCTTTCTGTATTTTTCTTTTCCCATTCCATTTTCTTTTTCCCTTAGGGGGGTTTTGGTCCGGGTTTTTTTTTTCCCATGGTGGTTTACACTGCACCTGGGGGCCCAGTATTTCCTCCTGCGGTGATCCCCCTGTTCTCTATTGTTACATTTACACTACTTCTTTTAATTATTTTCACTATTTTACTATTTCCCTTTCTGTTACTTCTACCCAATTGTTTTGCCATTACAACTACTGCTGCTGCTGCTTCCTCCTCACTACTGCTAACATCACTGCTGCGTTACTGCCACAACCACTACTATTTCTACTTCTACAGCTGTTATATACCTTTTGTGTCCTTGTATTGTTTGTAACAGCTTGACAAAGTTCCTGGAGAGCGAAACGTTGTCACAATAAAATGTCACATTAGTTACATCTATTTTCTTTTACGTAACATAATTCTAACATTATTACTAGTTTAGAATAACTAAGGTAAGCACAAAAAAACTTCAAATTATCTAAATAAATATTTTATTGTTAAAGATATTTAAATAGATAATAAATCTTGGTATGTACAGGAAATGTACTAGGATATAGTATTAAATTCTACAAAGCTGCTCAGTTTTGGTCTCTCATTAATACAAAATGGACCTAAATTAACTGGAAGGCAAACACAGAAAGATGACAAAATCCCCTGTAACAAGAAACTTACCTATAAGGATGGACTCAAAATTCTGTTTAATATTGCATTCAATTTTAAGGCAAAAATCCGGCGGGAAAAGAAAAATAACCTAACCAAGGGACTCTCATCTTACTTTGCACTGTAATATTCACGAGGAAGCGCTAAAACTCATAAGGGGTCATACCACGTGAGGATAAGACGTAATCAGATTTGATCTATGAAAGACGGGGAGCGAGAGGGTAACTCCAATTTCTTGTATCAAAACCTTTTTTCCAGTTGAAGTGGTGAACTTGTCGTAATCATTTTATTTGTCAGGAAACAGGACACGTGTTTCCTGAGGTGGGTTCTAGCCATGGCCCACCACTGGAGCTTTTGGTCCTCTAACAGAGGCCTTTAGCTGGCTTTTCCGGTCCACCCCTTTTAAAATTTAAGATTTCTGGGGGGTTTGAGATCTCTGAGCTTGCATTCTTGGGAGGCAAAAACTGTGGCAGATATGATGGACATGTCCAAGTGGAAGACAGACATAAAGAACCAAGAAAGAATTTGAAACAATGGCTTCAAGCTGGATAAATTAAGATTTAGAAAGGTTGCCGGAAAACACTAGTATGATAACAGTTTACAGACGAGTGAGATAAACTGTCAGGTAGCGTCATTGAAGCTAATACTTCAATAACTTTAAAAGTACGACTCACGAAATCGTATTAACACGATTGCAAACCACGCACTGGCCTGGAGGTTTAGGTCTCACTTGCCATGGGTTCAAATCCCACCCGTTTCGTGTTTTTATTTTTTTTTAATATATTAAACATATATGAGTTGGGAATGGATGAGTGTGAGTAAGACTTGCCTGTATGGTATAAACCTTAGTAATAGATACCCACAAACTGGTTTAGAAAGACACATAAGCAAACACTTGGACGTATTTATTAGAAAAAGTTTTAGTCCTGGAACCTTGATCCAGGTCCCAAGACCAAAACTTTTTCTATGTCCTAATGTTTACTTACGAGTCTTTCTAAACCAAGACTTGCCTAGTATTGTCCAGGCGGCATACCGCAGTGCTCTTCTATTTTGATGTTCTTATGGTCATACATGGCTTGTGGTGGTGCTAGGGAATGGTGCAGCCCCTGGCCCTCAAACTCACTGATTTCCTCCAGCTCAGCTTCTACTATTAACTGAGATATTTTCAATTTTACTAATGCTTGCCTTCTCTTAGAAAAAGATTTGACAGTTTTTGCATGACTTAAAAACAAATGTTCGGTGGCATCCAGTTCTAACTTTCTCGATCCAGTCTCCTGCGAAATTTCAAGAGTATTATCAGCAGAGTTGATCACAGCGGCAGAGGTATTATTTCTAGTCGGCTTTTTCTTTCGGGGAGGTTCAATTATTTTCTCCAGGATGTCAGTTTGGGGTTCTGCAACAGTATGGTGCAGGTCATCCAGCTCTTTGAAAGCAGCCTGACTACTCTCCTGCACGTTTTCTGTCCTGAAAAGAGAATTTCAATGTATAAAAATTACAAATTTACTTGTGAATGTTAGGTAAAAGGACACATGAATAACTAATGTGACATTTTACTGTGGCAAACGTTTCGCTCTTCAGGATTTTGTCATGCCGTACCAGACTATGGAACAAAACTCTCCTCCAGTCTGAGGGATGAGGTGACCATGGGCCCAGTATGCCTACTGCAGTGCTTATTTGTCCTCTTTAACCTCACATGGTACTTACTCCTCCGTGTCCTTATATTGTTATAACGGCTTGACAAAGCTCCTGGGAGAGAGAAATGTTGCCACAATAAAATTTTGAATTATTATAATGTGAGTAGACCTGACGCTAAATTAAAAATTAAACCAGTATTAAAACCACTACTCTGGTAAATTTAAAAATTTGTGGACAGTATATGATTAGGCTTGTTGGGTACACAAAAGAAATTTGTATTACCACTTACCATTTAATTTACTGTAGATGAATCACGCCACACCTGCCTGACACCTAGACCCTACACTGGCCAGCTAGAGATCTAAATGCAAATACTAAGGGGTGCACTTCCCTGCCCAGTGATGTTCGTATCCCTTATCATCCACCATCCACATCTAATACTTGAGGTCCCACAAATTTCCTGTCCCAATTCTTCAGCGGGAAAATGTGTCAGCAATTACTAAATTATGGATTTAGGCTGATACACCAATGACCTTGGAGAGCACCTGACTACACTGCAAAAATTTTTGTCCAGTGCTCACACGTTTTAAATTTAAAATTTTGTACAAACGCCTCCCTCTGTGGCGCCAAATCCCCTGGCTGTTCTACATCCCCCTCACTCAAATTTCTCGAAGGGTCCAATAGCATCACATTTTAATACACAATTATAATCATTTATATATTCTACATTTTTGGGAAAAAAGTAAAAAATTTCCACAAAAGTGTCACAAGCTACACATTTCCTTTTACTTAATATATTGTTGGTAATTCTACCATTCTTACTACCTCTGTATGGCCTTAGTGTTATGATAATATAAGCTAACAACTAGGCTCACTTTCAAAACTTATGGAAAAAGATTTCTCCACATTAATGTTACTTTGTTATGTTTTAACCAAATAATAAATTATATGTACATACAGGAACCAACCTTCTGTGAATTTTTTTTTTCAACAAGTTGGCTGCCTCCCACCGAGGCAGGGTGACCCAAAAAGAAGGAAAATCCACAAAAAGAAAATACTTTCATCATTCAACACTTTACCTCACTCATAATCACTGTCTTTGCAGAGGCACTCAGATATGACAGTTTAGAAGTCCCTCCAAACTGTCAATATCCCAAACCCCACCTTTATTATTATGAGCAAATCACCTGCACGAGACTTACAGGCTATTACCAGATGCCTTTGCTGTTAATTTCACCTTGTATATATAAATATTTATTCTTCCTCAGAATCCGTAGAGTGCATGAATACAGATCGATCGATCAATTCCATCCCATATTGTACAATGATTTGTTCTTATAGTTTGTAATGCATTACGTTAAAACTGATTACGTTAACACCCATTACGTAAAACTCATTTTAATATCCATTATGATACCATCCATTAGTTCTAAGTTACATATGAATTTGTTATTGTATAGAATCAGCCCAGAACCACCTGCCTGTTCAGTCTATAGCATAGTAGTGTATGTCGGGACGACATACGTAACATAACCGAGCTGTCAGCATAGTTGCTGATCCCCTTATATGTGTTGTATAGCGTATCATAGTACCATCCATGTGCTTTATATAGAAGATCCCTAGGCCGAGTGACTGTATGACATCACGGGATACAGCATGAGTCAGTGAGACAAGCTGCCTCCCTCTCAGTTGACGCATAGGCATAGAAGAAGGCGGAACACGGCAGGCTGGGCTCCCTCCATCTCCCATTACCACAGTCTGACAATATAGCGTTACCATCCAACAAGTGAGTTTACCTTATCCATCAATCTCCTACCGAACCCCACACGACAAAGGTAAGTGGGACTTAGTGGCAGTAGGTCACTGAACTGTCACTCCTTCAACTGCCAACTTTTTCATCACTCACAAAAAGCTAGACCTGACATTAAATTAATAATTATAATATTAACACCAGCTACTCTGGTAATTAAAGTTGTGTGGACTGTATAGGATTAGGTTTGTTGGCTACACAGAATATAATTATTATACATAAATTATTAGTGTTATTAGAAAGGAAATTCTTATTAACTTTTCATTTAATTACTGGAAGACAATGCTGATGGAACACACCGTAACTATACCCTAACAGCTGGGATTTACGATGGTCACATGTAATTCTTGAGGTCCCGTAAATCAATAAATAACAAAAAAGGCACAATACCGTGACTGGTCCAAGTCGGACCGAAACGTCGTCGTAAGCTTCTCTCTTTTATGTGCGGGTTATTTGTGTATTGTCCCGTAAATCTCCCGTCCCAATTCTCCAGCAGGAAACATTAGTACAGGTTCCTATTACAAATTCATTCTGAAACACCTCAATTTGGCCTCGGAAGACGCCGAATTATTAACAGAATTTCCCATGACAACTTGTGCTCACCCTGTACACTCTGTAATCATTATTTAACTACATGTAAACCACACACTAACCAAATTCTGTAAACTCAGCATTGTAATCCTTATAGAGAATAAACTTTGAATTTGAATTTGAATTATAAATGGCCTCCCCCTCCCCGGCGTCACTCAGCAGCACTTCTACCCCCCCCCCCCCTACTGGAAATTTTTTGAAGGGTCCAAATAGCATCACATTTTAATACACAATTATTATATTATTAATTTATATGTTCCACATTTTGGAAATTATGTAAAAAAAATCCACACTTGTAAAACCCTGTGAAAGAAAGAGCGAGTGACTTACTGTCTATCAACTACATGAGGCTTCAGGAACTCCAGCTGGGTGGCCCACGGCCACTTCTTATACTTCTTAGCAGTTTTTCCTGTTGTCTTCTCTGTTCTGAGGAACTTGACGTAAGAATCTCGAAGGTTTTTCCATTTGGCCTTTGCTGCTTCTCCTGAAATTCAATTACAATGTATGATGAGGGGTAACTCTCAAAACAGTTTAAAAATAAGCATGATTATTACCATATTATTATTACATTCATAGGGTAGCCCTAAACCTCACTTGGAGAATGGGAGGCAATCAAATTCGATTCAGGGAAGGATTATTATTAATATAATTAAAACCAAGTGCTAAACCCACAAGGGTCAATCCAAGGAAAGGGAGGTTATCCCAGCTTTCTTGACTGATTATAATTATGGGGGAGCGCTAAACCCGTAGGATTATACAGCACGTGGGGGATGGAAGGTATTCAGGTTCAATTCAGGGAACCGAAGCACAGATCCAACTCCCTAGATCAAGAGCTCTCACCAGCATCAAGGAACCTCCCTTGAGGGGCCTTGAAGGATAAGATAAAAGATTTGTTCCGATATTTTTTCTTTTAGCCCGGGGGAGGGTTAGCCTCCCAGGATAACCCAAGAAAGTGAGGGACAGCAGGTGTTAGGAAACATGCCCAACGTTTCCATCCGTGCCAGGGATTGAACAACGGACACTTAGTGTGAGTGCGTTGCCAACCAAGCCACGGGTCAACGCCACCGCGACCCGGTTCTCGGCCAGGCCTCTCGGTGGATTAGAGCTTGATCAACCAGGCTGTTACTGCTGATCACAAGCAACACAACTTAAAAACGACAGTCCGGCTGATCGGGCAATGACGTTAACTGTATTAAACCTTTCCTGTATATAATAATAATAATAATAATAATAATAATAATAATAATAATAATGAGACCTACTGGAAAGTTATGGTGATACCGACAGTAGATAACACAAAATTAGACTACTTTTAAATAAAATGTATAAAGGATTCAATGGATTTAAGTTAGACAAATTTAGATTTAGAAAGGATACAAAAGACTAGTGGTTGGGTTGTCATTGAATGGAACAACTCCCGAGTAGCGTCACTGCGGCAAAAGCTTTGCGTGGCTTAAAAAAATAGGTTAATAAGTTTATTTAGGTACAGGTACACATAAGTATAAGTTCTGTCAAGCACCTTAACTACTGGGAACGCTTGGAAGCACTTGACTTGTACTCGTTGGAACGCAGGAGGGAGAGATATATCATAATCTACACTTGGAAAATCTTGGAAGGAATGGTCCCAAATCTGCACACAGAAATCACTCCCTACGAAAGTAAAAGACTGGGCAGGCGATGCAAAATGCCGCCAATAAAAAGTAGGGGCGCCATTGGTACACAAAGAGAAAACACCATAAGTGTCCGGGGCCCAAAACTGTTCAACAGCCTCCCATCAAGCATTAGGGGAATTGCCAATAAACCCCTGGCTGCCTTCAAGAGAGAGCTGGACAGATACCTAAAGTCAGTGCCGGATCAGCCGGGCTGTGGCTCGTACGTCGGACTGCGTGCGGCCAGCAGTAACAGCCTAGTTGATCAGGCCCTGATCCATCGGGAGGCCTGGTCATGGACCGGGCCGCGGGGGCGTTGATCCCCGGAATAACCTCCAGGTAAGTACAATTACCATACCTAGTAACATATGTGTAAATTATCCAGGATAACCCAAAAAAAAACTCAAAGTGACTTATTTCCACTGGGGTCCTTGAGATTGAACGGTACATGAGTGTGTGTGTGAATTAGGCCTGCCTAGTATGGGCCAGTAGGCCTGGTTCAATGCTCCTGCTTTCTTACGCTCTTATAAGAATGGAGGAACACTGCAGCAGGCGTACTGGCCCATAATTGGCAAGTCTTTCTCGAATTCAACGGGTCTTACAATTTATAAAAAATGGGATACGCAGTACGTATTTTGGACAGCTTATGTATTTTCTGTTATATTTTAGTTTTAAGCCTAACATGTATGTACTTACCATTTTCTAGTCCAACCTGCTGAGCTATGTTCTTCCACACATTAATCTTTCTTATACTATCTTTGTAACCTTTATTATTCACATCATAGAGAATTTCGTTGTTTCTTACAATATCAATTAACCTTTCCATTTCGAGCTGTTGATTCATGCCTGTAACAGACACGTAAACAGACGTGTGACAGGCGTGTAACAGACACGTAACAGATGTGTGAGATGCGTGTATCAGACGTGTATTCACAGAACACCAAATAGCCTGGGTGACGAGGCTCTGCCCGCTACGGCAGCCCGCACGCAACTGTTTGCCCGCGCGGGAGGTCCGCTCCACGCCAAGGTGGCCCGCGCCCTCTGTCCTTGTCATCTCAACAGCAAAAAATGTGGTTGATCCCGCGGACGTTCGCGTGTGTGCGTGTGGGCGTTGGCGTGCGTGTGCGTGTGGGTGTTCGCGTGTATGCGTACGGCTGTTTATTTGTGTGTCCATGCTGGCGTTTGGTTGCGTGCTGGTGTACGCGGGTTTGCGTGTGTACTCACCTGTTTGTGGTTGTATGGGTAGTCACAGCTCCTGACAGGTGTTTAAGTACTCATTCATGCTTGCAGAGGTGAAGTCACAGCTCCTGGTCCCGCTTCTTAAACTCTCACCATTTTGCTGTCCAGATCATTCCACTTCCTTACCACTCTGAGGCTGAAAAAATATTTCCTGACATCCATGTGATTTATTTGTTTTTTAACTTCACACTGTACTCTCGTGTACCAGTTTTCCGCCTTTCGAACAGCCTATCCCTATCTCCTTCATCAGTTTCTCTTAGTATTTTTACGTCGTTATCATGTCTCACCTGTCCTGGCCTTTAATGACATCAGACTTATCTCTTTTAGTTTCTCCTCACAGCTCTGGGACTAGTTTCGTTGTAAACCTTTGTACCTTTTCCAGTTTTTTGACATGCATGATCAGGTGTGGGTTCCACAATGGTGCTGCATACTCAAAGAACGGTGCGTGAACCTGTGTGTGTACGTGTATCCGTACGTATGTCCATAAGGGTGTACGTGTGCCCATGCTAATTAATGATCTAAACCTGCGTCCAGCCATTTCTAATTTAATTTAATAATATTATTATTATTATTATTATTATTATTATTATTATTATTATTCACGAGGAAGCGCTCCACCCGTAGGGGGGTCACTCATCTCCTAGAAGAATAAGAGGTAATCCGGTTTGAAGGGGAGGCTAGATCCAACTCCATGGATCAAGAACCCTTCACCAGCAACAAGGGACCCCCCAACTTGAAAGGAAGTATCTCCCAGTGTGTTTTGTTTCTAAGAGGCCAACGCCTTTGATGCTGAAGGGCTCTTGATCCAAGTACTGTAGCAAACCTCCCCTCTCTTGAGAATAAAACTGATTGCCTACCTTTCCAAAGGGGCTTCATAATCCTGATGGGCTTAGCGCTTTTCTGAGTATAAATTATAATGATAGCAATAATTAATAACAATAATAATAATAAATAATAATAATAATAATAATATAATAATAATAATAAAACTTATACATGTGATACACTGAGATATACATTCTTTGATGTATACACACTACTGACCTCAGTGTATATACACACAAAGCGGTAAGTTAATTGGGTTTCAAGAAGATCGACTACACGAGGGTCATTAAAGCTGTATGTCACCTCTACATCACCAGTCCAGTACACTTTAATTTCTACAGCTGTGATTAAAGCAAACTCTAAGCTTATATACACTGAAAGACATACACCTCACGACGCATATATTCTCTGTTAAGCAAGATACTTAGCTCTCCCCATAACACTCCCCAGAGTATATAACAACGTACTGTATCAGTTATATTCAATACCGACAAGATGATGTATATATTTGTACTGTCTTCACATTATACCATGTAATGATAATGCTACTGGATGGCGAAATGTCTACAAGTAAAGATACCCATATGTTGCACGTGTGTTTAATTCATTATATACAGCGTGTACTCCTGATGGATGAGACAGTGAACCTAAGACTGAGTTCAGGAGTCATACAGGCGAAGCCTGTGAAGATCTGGGCTCACATATTTGTTTGTGTGGGGTGGAGTGAGTCGAATGAGTTAGTTTATCTCAGCTTCCTTTTACTATATTCCTCCTGCTTTCCTCACACATCTGCTTTAACTAAATATATATCAGAACTGTAAATGTGTGGAATAGACTGCCAATTAGAGGGAAGTAGTTTTGGTAGCCATAATAACCTGGACGGGAACACAAGTGGGTGTGGTTGGGTGTGAATTGGACTTCTCTATTATTGTTATTATAATCAAGGGGGAAGCGCTAAACCCGGAGGATTATACAGCGCCTGGGGGGGATGTGGAAGGCATTCAGGCTTAATTCGGGGAACTGGAGCACAGATCCAATTCCCTCTAAATCAAGAGCCCCTCACCAACATCAAGGAACCTTCCTTGAGGGGCTGGACTTCCCTTGACCAATACGCTTGCTTCAGCATATTCAGTGTAAACAATTAGTAACAAGGCTTTTTGTAGATTAATTCAGGTGATTCAACGTATATCTCTTCAGCTCTTTCAGATTTGCGCTTAAAAAATGTTAACAAACACATCTTTCATCAAATTTAACCTCCACTGTTATGTACTAATTTCAATATACAACTTTATTTCCTTCACAAAATTCCCAGGTTCACCACATCTTGTTTTCACCATATATCTCTTGCTTTTATCACCTCTTTTGTTGCATATTTACACACCTGCGTTCTGTTTTACCGAACATGTTTTTCCTGAATAATCATTACGGGTCTAATGATTTTTTTATACTACTCCTAATAATAATACCTTTACTAGTGTCACTAGCATTATTATTCTCATAGAGTTTTAATATTATTACACCAGTCTGTTATACATTGATGGATTCGTTTGGAAGCGCTAAACCCGTAGTAGTCATACTGCACCTAGAGAATGGGAAGGAATCAGGTTTGACCCCAGAACTAGCAGGGTAGCTCCAACTGCTTGGATGAAGATCATGCACATCAATACACCTCCTTCCACCCTTCAAGGGACCAGTTGACCCATTGACTGACTACAGGAGGGTCATTAAGTCCTCATTCCATCTAAACACAAACATCAAAAGTACTTTAGTATTAAAGACACGGATTAGAGAAAATTCTTAGTGTATATTCACTGAGATATACACATACATCTCTGTGCATATACCTTCCATCACCACTTGTATAATACTTTCAAATTAATCGAATTGGAGTCTCAAACTATGGTTCGACAAAAAACACGGTGATTACGCGAGGCAGGTTATAACATCTGCTGTATTCGTCAAAAAACATTTTGCTGTACTGGGAAATTACCCAATGAGTGTCTAAGTGAATTCTTGAGATAGATGTCAGAAATTGAGTAAATGGAAGCTCAAAAAGATAGTCCTGTTATTAGATTACGATTATATTAGAGTATTTTAGATTCACCGAGAGTCAGTCGAAGGTTCGAACTGATCGAATCGCATGTTAAAAGATCTTGAGGGGATCAGGTTGGGTGGGAAGAGGTAGTGCGGCATCAGCTTTGTTCCTTGACGGCTTCTATAGATTCCTTGGTTTTTGGCCCTTGTGGTTGTGCTCGTTTCAATCATGCCGAGAGTGAAAGTCCTGGACAACGGAAGCCCTCGTCGTAAGGAAGAGTGGGTGCTGAAGACGTTTCAGTGCGCTACTGGGGTGTTCTTCAGACAATGCAAATGGACGAACTTCGGATGGATTTTCGTTTTACCCAGCGTTGAGGATGTTCTACAAGTTATGCAGCCTCTCGTGAGGGCTAAATTGTGTTCATTTGGGTTGCAGGTCGTAAAGACTGCGCAGTACCGCGCTGACTGTACCCTCATCTGTTACAGCATGTTCGGTACCCTTGACTCGAGTAGTATCAAGGACATGGCTGCCGAAATCGTAGCCTGCAACAACGGCGTCAATGTATCAAGCGTCAAGTGGAGGTGCCCTACTTCCATCTGGGTAGAGTTTAATTCACCTGAGGAGGCTGACAAAATCCTGAACTCCCCAGGGGGCATACAGTTGGCCTTTGGTAAGAGATTTTCTCAACTACGGAGGAAAGAGTACAGAAAAGTTCCACAGTGTTCGCGTTGCTTTTCCTTCCAGCACACTGTGAAGGGATGTACACGGATACAAAGGTTCTGTTACATATGCGGCAGGAAGAAGCACCTGTCTAGCAGGTGTCAGAACAGGCATGCTCCGCACTGCATAAACTGTTCTGGAGAACACATAGCCCTCTCCTTCCAGTGCCCCGTCAGACTACAGAGGGAGAGAGAACTGGAAGAGGTAGAGGTGTCCGAAGCAGAGAGCAGTGATAGTGCGCTGGAAGAACTGGAATCTTCTGATGGCGAGAAGAGTGAAGACGCAGACCTTGAAGGGAACCACTTCAACGGTCTGCGATGTGTCTGGCCCTGTATCGACAATGGACAACACAGGGAGGGTGCGGGCACCCCGCAGGAAACTCTAAGACCAAATAGACCTTTGAGTTTCGTGAAAGTGCTAGAAACTAGGTCCCCAACCCGGCCGGCCGCCCCTACAGAGTCCCCAAACCAGCCAAACGTCTCAAATGGACTGGATTTTCTCGAGAAGTCTCAAAGTCTGGCAGACGTACCTGAGGGATCTTCAGGCCGGGCAAGTGTTCTTGAGAGAACCCCTCTACCACTACCGTGGTCGTCTACGCAGGCTCATTCGCGTGAGCGTACCTCTCCTCTTTCAGCTGATTCAGGTAGCAAACTAACTAGCATGAAAGTAAATTCGTCTCCGGATTCGTCCGAAACTATCCAGCTTACCTGGTCACCTTGCAGAGCTGACATCAGTGTGGGGTCGACCAGTGAATCTGACCTGCTTCTCGACTCTCCATGTTGGGCACTTGATCCTGTAATTGGTACGCCTTATAAACATACTGATTTATATCTGGGTTCATCCAATCATGCGTCCGATTCTGAAGTTCTATCACCCAGTGAGACGCTAGATTTGGCATCAAAATCCCCCTTCAGAACTTTTGATCCCACACCCGGGTCGTTCTGTAAGAAGTTTGATCCGGTTCCGGGGATATCTAGTCAGAACTTTAGTCGCACTCCTGGGTCGGCTCGTCGTTGCAACTCCACCTCTGATGCTTCACAACGTCTACCGTTGAACCCCATTGCAGCAGTGGCGAAGCAAATTTGTTCTCCTGCATCAGTCGGTAGAGCGTTAAATATTTTTCCAGCATCGAGTACATTTTCTAATAGTCTCTTATCCCTTGCCCAGAGGACTTTTCCATGGCTGGC